CCGGCTAGTAAAGCTTCATATTCTGCCTCATTGTTTGAAGCCTGGAAACTGAAGCGTAGAGCATACTCGAACCTGTCGCCCTCTGGAGATTGACATACGACGCCTGCTCCACAACCGTTTGAAGTAGAGCTTCCGTCCACATATACCTTCCAGACTTGGTCTGGAACTTGAGAGTCAGGAGGACGAGTCATCTCTACAATAAAGTCAGCAAAGGCTTGCCCCTTCACTGCTTTTCTAGGCTCGAAAGTAACTTCGAGACTCTGCATTTCTATGGCCCATTTGATCATTCGTCCGGAGGACTCCATGGTGGTAAGGGGCCGTTTGATCGGTTGGTCGGTATACACGACGACTGCATGTGCCAGAAAGTAGGGCTTCAATTTTTTAACAGCCATGAAGAGTGCAAGACCAAATTTCTCCACTAGGGGATACCTCAACTCGGCATTTTTCAGTACGTGACTGACAAAGTAGACCGGAAGTTGACAGCCGTCCCTTTCAGCAAGGAGCACCGCGCTTAACGCATGATCAGAGACGGCCAGGTACATGTAGAGATTTTCTTTGGGCAAAGGGCTGACCAGCCTTGGCAAGGAATGCAAGTGAACCTTTAATTTCTGGAAGGCGGCCTCAGCATCCGGCCCCCATTCAAACCTTGCCTTTTTCTTAATTGCCTGGAAAAAGTATAGGCATTTGTCGCCTGATCGGCTTAGAAATCTTCCCAAGGCCGCCAGACAACCTGTTAACTTCTGAACCTCTCGGACGGTACGAGGCGACTGCATGTCAATGACCGCCTGTACCTTCTCAGGGTTCGCCTCTATTCCTCTCTGGTTGATAAGGAATCCGAGAAATTTCCCAGACTCAACTCCAAATACACATTTCTTGGGATTGAGCATGACATGGTGCCGCCTGAGTGTGGCGAAAGTTTCTCGGAGGTCCGTCAGATGATCTTTCTGAAGTTTAGTCTTAACAATCATATCATCAATGTATGCCTCGACGTTTCTCCCAATCTGATCAAAGAACACTGTGTTTATCATTCATTGGAATGTAGCCGGGGCATTCTTAAGACCAAACGGCATGACCGTATAACAGTATAATCCCTGATCAGTGACGAAGGCCGTCTTCTCCTGATCTTTCTTCCACAAAGGAATTTGATGAAAACCAGAATAGGCGTCCATAAAACTCATCAAGGCATGGCCGGCTGTTGAGTCGACCAGGTTATCAATTTTGGGCAGAGGGTAACTGTCTTTGGGGCACGCCTTGTTCAAGTCTGTGTAGTCTACACACATTCGCCAGGTGCCATTCGGCTTTTTAACAAGTACCACATTTGCAACCCAATCTGGGAAGTAACATTGCCGAATGAACCCTGCATCAAGTAATTTTTTGACTTCGGCGGCGGCCGCCTGACCTCTTTCTTCACCATGGTTCCGCTTCTTTTGCCGTACCGGCTTCTTTTTCGGATCCACAGCGAGTTTGTGTACTGCCAGATCAGGACTAATGCCTGGCATTTCATGGACTTCAAATGCAAAGATGTCCTTGTATTCTTTCAACAGGTTGTGAAAGTCATCACCAAGGTTTCTCAGAGCAGTCGTCCCAACTTTGACTGTTCGGTCAGGGCGGGAGTCGTCTAATATCAGGTCCGTATGCTCACCAGCCGGCTGAGGGCGGAACTCATCCGGCCGGTCCTCTGCCAATGATTGCTATTTTCTTGCCTTTCTGGCGGACTCTGTCTGGGACGCCTTTCTTTTTCTGTCGCCTGTTTCTTGAACAGGCGCACTTTCCTTGACATTGTCAAGGTCTGTTTTTTCTCCACTTGACCCAGTGGCCTTAGCAGTGGGTTTGACATCCGAGAGATAGCACTCTCGGGCCATCCTCTGATCTCCCCTTAGGGAGCCGACTGTTCCATTGTCCCTTTCAAACTTAAGCAGCATAAGTGACGGGATTATAACAGCCTTGGCACTATTCAGGGTTGGGCGACCCAGAATCATGTTGTAGGCAGAGAGTTCCTCTACAACTAGGAATCGGACTACCATGTGTCGTCCTTCCCCTTTTTCGCCCAGGCGGACGGGTAGATCAACTCGTCCCAGTGGGTGGACGACTCCTCCTCCAAACCCTATTAAAGGGTGGGAGGCCGGATGTATGCAGTCCGTCTGATATTTCAGTTTTGACAGACATTTGCTGCTGATGAGATCTGAAGAGTTCCCAGTATCTATGAGGATTCGACCAACTCTCTGGTTGGCCACTTTACATTCAATAACGAGAGGGTCGTCATGCGGCCCCCTTATTCCTCCTAGATCCTTTTCAGTGATGACAATCTCAGGAAATGTATATTTGGACGGTCGTTCTTGGTGAACGGAATTTACATCTAACCGCCTTATATTATCTTTGTTGCCCCTAATAGTGGGGCCGCCTCCTGAGAAGCCGCCTGCAATGGTGTAGACGACTGCATCATCTGTATCGGAACTGTCGGCCTGTTGATTCTTTTTGGCCGACTGCTTTTTTGAGGAAGTATTCCCCGTAGATTTCTTGACATAAGTGTCAAGATCACCTTGATCAGCCAAGCGGTCTAGGTACCGCATGAGACTAATGCAGTCGTTGGTGTGATGACCAATGTCATCATGATAAGCACAGATTTTGTCTTGGTTCCGGTTGCTCGCAGAACCCTTCATGGGGAGCGGTTTCTCAATTGAGAGCCGTCCCTTTATTTCTTTTAGGATAAACTGGTTATCCTTGTTAAACACATACTTTGGGGAGTATGGTTTGAATTCCTTTTTCTTCTTGGCCGGCTGTTTAGAGGAATCAGCCGCCCAGACCCCTTTTCTTTTTTCATCTTTGTTGGACGACTGTTTCTGTCGTCCTTCTCTATTGTCGAACCTCTTCCCGTCCGACTGTTTCATTGTACACAGATCAGTCGCCTGTATATAGGCTTCTGCTTCAATCAAGGCCTCTTGAAGAGTCGCCACCCTTTTTCGAACTAAATCAAATTTGAAGGTAGACCCGTCTTTGAGACCTCTAAAAAAGTCAGTATAAGCTACCTCATCCGGTAACCCTTGAATCTGTATTCTCATCAGGTTGAACCGCCTGATGTAGGAACGAAGCCCCTCCTTTTCACCCTGCTGAATTGTTCCCAAATCAAGGGTCGTTTTCTTCGCAGGGATGTTCATTGCAAAGTTGGAGGCAAATAAGTAAGCAAGCGTCCTGAAACTGTTTACACAACCAGTCGGCAGGTTGCCGAACCATTGCTGTGCAATTCCCTTGAGAGTTGCTGGGAAACACTTGCACCAAGTGGGATCATCCAACCCTTGAAGGTACATCAGGTTGGTGAATGCCATCAGATGGTCTTCCGGGTTAGTAGTGCCATCATAGGCGCCTACTAAAACATTTTTTACTTTGGCCGGCTGAGCGGCTTCAGTAATTTCCTTGGAGAAGGCCGACGGCTGTTCACCAAGTCTAAGCAGCCGTAGCTGCCAGTCCATAGGTTGGACGTTTTTTGCTGCAGGTCCACCAAATGGAGGTGGCTGCATAAAATATTGTTGTTGCGGCACAAATGGCAAATTTGGTACCGCCTGCGCACTATGAAAGCCAGACTGACGGGAGGTGCCGCCTGACTGACTCTCATGGTACGACTGAGTTGGCCTCATCGAGGCATTTCGCAAACTGTCCTGAAAATTTGAAGTAGAAGCCGACTCTGATAATCGGTCACTCTTCTTCTGCTCTAGCAGGTGCCGAGCATCTGTGAACGTTTGCTTTGACCCGTCCGCCTGAATATGACGAACCGGTTTCCTATTTCCCGTAGGATAACGGAGTTTTGTGAAATCAAGAGCAGACGGCTCCCGCTTCTTAGATTTAGGATGGGGAGTCGCCTCTCGCCCTTGAACTGGCTTCCTCTTCAGTGAAGTGGAAGGTTTTTTGGCCGCCTGCTCTTTGACTGAAGCAGGCGGTTTTTTGTTGATCAACTCTTGGATCTCTCCCTTGAATCCCCTCATGAAGGTCATGAGTTCGTTCCTTGTGATGGGAGCAGACCCATCAGTCGGCTGTTGCCGAGCAAGCGGTGCGCCTGCTGGCTCGCTTCCTGTTTGAAGATACTCCCGTTCCCTTATTTCAGTATGACGGGTACGGCGGGCCCTTAGGGTCCCGTCTGGAGCTGTATGAGTTTCAACTTCAAATTCACTTTCGGTATCATGGTCCGACTGAACTTGAGGGTCGTCTAGGGGACGCCTCTCTTCTGGGGTCGGTACAGACTTGGATGCCATCTCTGAAGTACTCTCCCCACAGACGGCGCCAAATGTTTTGGGGTTTTCTGATGTCCTGCGGGAGAGCTACAATTCCGAGACTAGAACCAGACGCCTGTACCTGCAAAATAACGGAGACTCCTGAGAGCTCCGCCTCCAACGGTCAAGTTAGTACCTGATTAAGGAGTAATTAATACAGAAATTAAAGTAATAAGGTCTCTCTAGGTGAGAGTATTTAATGTAGGTAATCTGCTTTGCTAGCGAGATCAGCCGGTTATTAGTGTGTTCCGTAATGTTTCTCCTCCGTTCCGTTAATTATTCGGTCCCTTGATTAATGAGGATTAATCGAGTATTTATAGCCTTGGGAAGCGTGCAACTCTCTAGGTTTAAGGTAAACCTAGGGCCGATCGGGCTTCTAGACTGAAATGGGCCTTGATGGCCGGTTGTCCCATTTGGCATGGGTGGACACGTGGCGTGTCTTAAGTGGTCCGTGGAGGACGCGTGGCGGAACCTGGTTGGTCCACTTGTCAAACGGCGCTTGGTGGATAAAAATCCCCTAATCACCACCCATGGTCCCTCATTTGTTGTAATCCCTCCTTAGTCAATTTAACATATGTCATGGCATTAACAATATCTTGGTCCCCCTTTTGCAGAGCTTGACACAATTTATCAGTAATCCCAAATATTTCGGACATCAAATGTATCATAAATACAAATTCAAATGATTCAAATGTAGACATGACAGTGATAGCCTTCACGCGATCATCCTTATAAATCTTATTTGATCCAATCTTCTCAAGAACTTTAACAATAGTAGCATACAATGCGGTAACATTTGAAACAGTTTTGTAATGTGATCCCCACCTAGTATCACCAGGCCTACCTAAGCCATGTTCTTGGTTTAAACCTTGCCCACTTTCAATTTCTCCTAGTTCTAATGCTTGTAGAATATGTTGAGATTGTATTTCTCTTATCATTTCCCTTCGCTTACAAGAAACACCAATAATATTCAACAAAATAGCAAGTTGATCAAACAACCAAATACAATCATCATTATCCTTAGCAACAGCAACAAGGGTTAATTGAAGTTGGTGAGCAAAACAATGAATATAATAGGCTTGTTTTGTTTCATTCATGATCAAAGTCTTGAGACCATTTATCTCCCCCCTCATATTACTAGCACCGTCATAACCTTGTCCACGAACTCTAGACAAACTCAATGAATATTCCATAAGCAAAGACTCAATTGCACTCTTTAGTGACAAAGCAGTAGTATCCTTAACATGTACAATTCCAAGAAACCTCTCATTTATCTTCCCTTTATTATTGACATAACGCAAGCAAAGGGCCATTTGTTCCTTTTGAGATACATCACTAGATTCATCAGCCAGTATTCCAAAATAGTCATCCCCAATATCATCAATAAGAAGTCTAGTGGTTTCTTTGGCACAACAATTAATAAGTTCTTTTTGAATTAAAGGACTAGTCATTCGATTATTTCCCGGGGCATTACCTAGAACAACCTTTGCTACCTCACTATTATTTTCTGAAAACCATGTTAAGAGTGCAAGAAAATTACCCCTATTCCAAGATTCTTCACTTTCATTATGCCTACGACAAGCTAAACCTTGATTTAAAAGAAATCTAATACATTTCAATGAATAAGTCAAGCGAGATTTGTATTGTAGTTTAGCTTCCTTAGAATAAGTGCAAAGAGATTCAGCAACTGATGTCTTTGGGTTGATAAACATACTATATTTCTCATTAGCCTGATTATGGAAACTACCAATACCACCCACATGAACATCAAATCTACCAGTCTTATTCCATCGTCTAAATCCCCCTTTAATAAAGGAATCATTAACAGCCAAAGAATAATCAACTTTATCAGTGAACAAATAGCACACAAAACAAAAAGCCGCATCTTTCTCAACACTATATTCAAGCCACTCATATTTATCAAACCAAGTAACATTAAAACGGCGCATACCTCCAACTTTTCTTTGAGGAAAATTATGTGTGCGTGGATCACAACGTTTCTTTGTAATATAGCCTCTCCTTACGGCATCTCGATCATTAGGAGGATACTCCATAACTGGAATTCTTTTTCCAGGGTCATGTGGAAGAAGATCAACATCATAAATGCGAGTATCATCGGAGTCAACAGTAGTATTAGTGTTCTCAGGTGGTGGAATTGTTGCAGCAATAGGAACCTCATCATCATTAGGAGACACATGTTCTTCTATTGGAGGATCCCTTGAACTAGGTGAAGAACAAGTTGAAGACTTTTGTGACTTCCCGGCACGTTTCCAAAATGACTCTAAACTCATGGTATAATAGGTATATGCTGCTAGTCTGCTGCACACACATGATAAATGCATAATGAAATCAATGAAATAATGAATGAATGATATATCTAGAAGGCTAATTAAAACTATCGTAATTAAAGATTACAGTCAATTACTCAATTAGTAAACGAAATCTAGACGGCATAAAACGAAATAGCAAATGAAATTATGAAAACTAGAAGGCAGAAATGAAATACAGAAAATAGCATATGAATTGGCAGAAACGAAAGGCAGAAAATAGCATAGCATATGAAAATCAGAAAATAGCATACGAAATACAAAAAAATCCCCAAATTGAGAACTTGAGAAGTAAATTAGATAATTATAACCAATTAACCAAACTTCAGCAATTTACAAAAAATTGGCAATTCGTAAATCGTAATGTATATTAGCAATTGAATTTAGCATATGAATTTCAATTTTCAAGTATTCAATGATTTAGCAAAAAAAATCCCCAAATTGAGAAGTAAATTACATTTGCAAAAAAAAAAATCCCCAAATTGACAAATTCACTTACCCCTACATACACCGATACACCATACACGGCTGTGAGGCTGGGACGCTGGGTCTGGGTGAGTGGCTGGTGCGCTGCCGGCCTGCCGCTGCCGCCGTGTTCTGCTGACTCTGCTAGTCTGCTGTCGTGCTGCGCCGGGAAGAGAAGGAGGAAGAACGGGAAGAGAAGGACTGAAGGAGGAAGAACGGGAAGAGATTAAGAGAAGGAGGATTGGAGGAAGAAGTTAGGGTTTTGCAATTTGGGGGAATGACTGAATGAGGAAGAGGAAAGCGAACTCTGGAAGCACGAAGCAGGAAAGCTCAGTGCTCAGGAAACAAAATTAAAAAAAAAAAATGTGAGTTATGGGTTTTGAACCCACAACCTCTTGTGTGATGGGAGGTAAAAATAACCACTGGGCTACAACTTTACTTGTTGCCATATAATACACAAATATTCTATTTAAACCTATTTTGATTTTTTTTTTTTTTAAAAAAAAAAAATTTAAATTTTTTTCAAAAAATCAGTGGGTTCAATGAACCCACTTGAACCCACCCTAGTTCCGCCCCTGTTAGGCTGTGATTGTATAGGTTGCAACTAATGACTTCTTTTCACCTTAAAATTTTCTAGGTTAAAGGCAACTAAAAAGAGAATTAAGGTGTATAATAGTTTTGATAAGAAACAATTAGTACATAAAGGCTCATAGGTTAATCAAAAATCAATATAAATGACATCAAATCAAAAGAAAATTAAGCGAGAATTGGACACACCGTGACAGAACTGGTTTTATATCAGACAATCTTATTATAGCAGCAACCTTAAGTTGTGTAACACCCAACCTAATAATATATATAGCATTTATATATGTGAAAAGGCTTTAAATAGGTAGCTCTAAAACGTCTGAAGTAGCTTAAAACTTTATAATTTATTAGCAGACCCTTGTGATGGACCAATTCGAATGACTAGAATCAACATGATGGATTATGATAATTATTATGCGTATAATGGCATCAAAACATGAACTAGAAAAGTGAAAACCAAACTCTACACATTTTAGGTACAAGTGATATCAGACCATAAGGATTGTAGAGGGGAAAAAGAAATTGCATGACACAAAATAGAATTCAGGACTATGGACTAACAGAGTAACAGATACAGAGGAAAATTACCTTCACATCTTACATTGAAAAATTCCTCATCACTGTACCGAGTACATAGAACCTAGATATTTCCCACAAGAATAAGTGTTAATCAATTTTGATTCGTGAGCTGAAGTTCAAAGATTAGAACATATCGCTTGATTCTTAAAAGGCTTCCCTTTTATTGTTTCTGGCAGAACCTGCAAAAATGACACATGGTATTGTATAATCAGATATAAGAATGATCTAGGAACTAAATTATAAGTAATAAGAATGATCTAGTTACTCATTGAGCAGCATCAAATGAGCAAGGCAATAAGTTTAACCTGGTGGCAGAGGTAGGTATTTCGGTTATTATGCTATCTATAGTTCCATGACTTCTATGCTATTTATAGTCTTCATCTTGGAGATGACTAGATAAATAATTGAGAGCCTCCAAAGCATTACCACATACGGCAGGACGCTCCTCCAACTTTACTTCACCACTTTCTAGTACATTCACAACCTCAGAGAAGTATTTCACCATTTCAGCATCTGTCTGCTGCCTATGTGTATATTAGACTCATGTTAGCATTTCAGTAAGCACTAAAACACCAAACAAAATGATAATCAAATAATCATATACTAAACATAGTGGCATGATATTTCAACTATGGACAAAATATATGCCAGTTAGGTGTAGGATTATACTTATAGAAGTTATCAAACAATCATATACTAAACAAATTGGCATGATATCTACTCATCCAATCCAACATGATAATCACAAGTTAAAACATAGATTTGAGAAACAATATAAAAAAAAATAAAGAAAGAAACTACTATACCATTGCAATCAGAAGAAAGACGAGACCTCAAAAAAAGGCAATAAAAAATAATCAAACATAAAGAAAACTAGTAAATGTAAGTTAGAATCCAACAATTACCATTTACCATTTACCAATTAGTTCCTAAGTTTCCACTTTCAAAAGTAAAATATTCTTCTAGAAATGACTCCAACAATCTAAACATTTTAATATTTTTTACTTGTAAAAAGTTTAGCATCATTTGTAAACTCTTTTAGAAAAGTTAGACTCATAGACTAGTAAACTACTGTTGATATAATAAAGTTTGAGGATTTCATACGATTATGCTACATGAAGTGGGCATTAACAGAAGCTAATTAAAAGTATTTAATTAAGTTTAATTCTAATTGAGATTTATCGTGAGTTGATGATGACATTGACAAGAACCTAGTGATTAGCAAGAATGGCAACAAGAAGCACTTTGTATAACCAAAGGGAACCTGAAAGTTATTCTTATTCCTCTTATCCATCTAAACTAAAAAGATTAAAAGCTATATATCCTACATAGTACTAAAATTGAACAAATGACGAGCACAGACAAGTGAAACAACTCTAGACACTAATAACAAGTAGAAATCAAAAGATACGTCATGAACTAGGAATACTAATTGATCGGAATCAGGGCCTGTTCCGATTGACTGAACTCAGCTGAACTGAAATGAAATGAACTGAGCTGAACTGAACTTATTAATTAGTGATTTTTAACTACGGATTAGTGATCTTTGATTATTTATTTATTATTTATTACTATACATATGTGTATATACAAATGTACATATTAAAATATTTACGAAAAATATACTATATAATTATAATTATAAAATGTACGGAAAATATATTATAAAATGTATGGAAAATATATTAAAAACTTAAAACCTCTAAACATTTTAAACACATATACTATTTAATTTAAAAATAAAATAGTATTAGGACAAAAGAACACAAAACACTTACATGTATCTAACCCATTTAAACAAATTTTAAGTTGTGTAGTACTCTAATTTTCTCAATGAGATTAACATTAGAAATATGTATCAAGAAAATAGAACCATTTGAACAATGAATTGTATCAATATTATTATTATTATTATTATTATTATTATGATTAATTATTGTGATTATTATTATTATTATTTATTGATTATTAGTATTATTATTATTATTATTATTATTATTATTATTATTTATTGATTATTAGTATTAGTATTATTTTTTCAATTATGATTTATATTATTATTATTATTATTATTGTTAATATTATTATTATTTTTTTTTTTTGAAAACATAATTATTATTATTATTATTATTATTATTGTTTTTGTTGTTGTTGTCGTTGTAATAAGAGCTTAAAAGAATGAAATTTGGCTTTATATCATTAGCAATATCATTAGATATAAATTAAGAGCTGAGCTGAGCTTCAACGGAACAACACAAGCCCTCATGTATACACCTGAACCTGAACCGAGCTGAACTGAACTGAACTGAACTGAATTGAACTTATTAATTAGTGATAATTAACTACGGATTAGTGATATTTGATTATTTATTGATATTTATTACTATACATATGTGTATATACAAATGTACATATTAAAATATTTACGAAAAAATACTATATAATTATAGTTATAAAATGTATGGAAAATATATTATAAAATGTATGGAAAATATATTAAAAACTTGAAACCTCTAATTTTCTCAATGAGATTAACATTAGAAATATGTTTCAAAAAAATAGAACCATTTGAACAATGAATTGTATCAATATTATTATTGTTATTATTATTATTATTATTAATTATTGATAATTATTATTATTATTTATTGATTATTATTATTAGTATTATTATAGTATTATTATTATTATTGTTATTATTATTATTATTTATTGACGATTATTATTATTTATTGATTATTATTGTTAGTATAATTATTAATATTTCAATTATTATTGTTATTATTATTATTATTGTTAATATTATTATTATTATTATTATTATTATTTTTATATACTATTTATTATTATTATTTTTGCTGTTGTTGTCGTTGTAATAAGATCTTAAAAGAATCATTAGACATAAATTAAGAGCTGAGCTGAACTGAACTGAACTGAACAGAACTGAACTGAGCTGAACTGAGTTGAACTGAACTGAACTGAACTGAACTGAGCTGAACTGAACTGAACTGAATTTCAACGGAACAAAACAGGCCCTAAGTTAGCAAAATGAGAGATAAGAGAGGAGAGAGGAGAGAATGGAGTGTTTGACGGCTAGGAGTGTGAAACCCTAATAATTAGTAATGGGCTCCTCTTTTCATGAAGTCCTCTTTTCAGCTGTGGGCCAAAGATTCGTAACAGCCATATGGTGACCATCATGTGTCCGTTACAAATAATATAGTATTCGTAACGGACACAAATGTGTCCGTTACGAATACTATATTATTTGTAACAGACAATATTTTCCTGTTACGAATAATATTATTCGTAACGGACACATGGTGTTCGTTACGAATAAATATTTATTCGTAACGGACAATATTTTTCCCGTTACGAATGTATTTAATGTAACGGGCATAGCTTTGCCCGTTACAAATAACCCGTTACAAATGAAACTTTTTCCACTAGTGAGCCTTCCAACGAAGCCTCGAATTTCTTTCTCATTCTTGGGTGGTGGCATGGCCATGATTAGAGCTGTCAATTCGGGTAAATGGGTCGGGTTTGAGTCGGGTTAGTGTGGTTCGGGTCATCTCGGGTTGGGTCAGTACGGGTTAATGTCAGGACCTATGCGGGTCAGGTTCGGGTTGGGTCATGCTTGAGTCGGGCCACGTCGGGTCATACATCTTATCGGGTTTGGGTCGGGTTTAGGTCGGGTCAATAAAAGGTCGGGTTACATTCGGGTCGGGTAAAAAACATGTCGGGTACATTCGAGTTTAAACGAGTTAGGGTCCTGTTCGGGTTCGAGTCGGGTTCGGTTCAAGCCAATTATTTACGGGTTATAATCAGGTCGGGTCATTATCGGGTTTGAGTTGGGTTTGGTTTAAGTCAATAATTTGCGGGTTATAATCAAGTTGGGTCATTTTCAAGTCGGGTCATTCTCGGGTTCGAGTCGCGTTTGGTTCAAGTCAATAAAATTTTAAATTTTTTTTTAAAGCTTCAAATCAAATTGCGTAATTTAAAACATTTAAAAAAATATTAAAATAAACAAGTGAATAGTAAAATTTGAAAAAAAAAAATATAAGTAGTTATATGGAAGTTTATTTACGGGTTATAATCTTATGTATTTGTTAACGTCGAATCTCTATTGTAGATGTCGTATGACTTTTAATAATGAAATGTTTTTGCTATTAAAAAAAAAGTTTATTTATAAGATAAATTTAGAAAAAAAAACATTAGGCTAATTTAATTAGACAAAATCACTATCACCGATTCACCTCACTCACCTCATATTGCCTCAAATACGTTTAAAAAACATTGACAGCTTAGAGAGTCACAGCTCTACTCTAATACTCTATCACCTCATGTGCTCATATAGCTCATTGCTCATATAGGAAGTTGAAGATAATTAGGAAAAATAAAATCAATCACAATAGAGATTTCATGGTGGAAAATTTCGTCAATCTCGCCACTAGAGTACAACCTTCCTTAATATACTAAGATTCAGTCATTTTTTTTTGGTTGTTGTCCAATTCAATTTTTCTTTGACGAGGATTATGTAAGAGATAAGTCAAGTAAGATGAGAAAGGCCACTTTTGTTTTATAATTGGAATCCATGTTAATAAATTGAAAAAAAGCCTGAAACTCAATAGTCAATACAGAGTACTCTTTTTATCCTAAAAACTCCTAAATCCTAAAATTCGGGTTAGTAATAGGTCGAGTTTAAATTTGGGTCAGGTCAATAAGAAGTCGGGTTGAATTTGGGTCGGGTCAATAACAAGTCGGGTTGATTTCGAGTCGGGTTTGTAACAAGTCGGGTTTAAATTCGAGTCGGGTTAGGAACGGGTCGGGTTAGTAACAGGTCGGGTTGAATTCGGGTTTTGACGGGTTAAATCGGGTTTGGGTCATTCTCGGTTCGAGTCGGGTTCGATTCAGGTCAATAATTTACGGGTCACATTCGGGTCGAGTCTTCACTAGGTCGGGTCATGGTCGGGTTCGGGTCTCAAATACTCGGGTCAACTCGGGT